TCTTCCCCTAGCATACACACCAGCCCGTGTGCTCAGTGCTTGCTCCTCTGTGGGAGAACTTTCATGCCAGCAAAAGTGGAGACTGAGCGAAAGGAGAGGGGAAACATGGGGAACAGGTGGTAGAGAAGGAGGCAAACGTAGCGCAGAGTCCATTTACGAGAAATCACGACACGTGAATCAGAGACATCCCACCCTTCTGGTGAAAACAGGCACGTTTGTACCCAGGCTGCTTGGGGATGAACAAAGTTCACAGGCGCGAGGGCATTGCACATCAACTGCCCCCAGCCTCGGGCGTACGCCCAGGTCTCTACAAGTCCAAAGGAAAGCTGGGGAAATGCAAGGACTCGGCCAAGCTCCGAGCTGGGGGAAAGGGGAAGCCTGGGGGGAAGAGCCCCCAGCTCCGGTCAAGCAACAAGACCTAGCCATTGCCAGCCCCTGCCGCCTCTGCTCTCCCCCAAAACACCAAAAACGCGGATGATCACGAAGGTGGTGATTTCATGCAGCTGCAAAATGCCCTCATGAGAACAAGGAGAAATGTGAAGTTCTGTTAAGAGCCACTGCAGGTTATAAAGCCGTCATACTTTGGTGGGGAAATCCAGGGAAGGGAAAGGGCATGAAAAGAAATGGCCACAGGACAAGAGCAAGAGAAAGAGGAAGAAAAGGAAATGAAAATCATCATCATCATCATCAGGACACAACAACAGGACGAGAGACAGAGCGCTTTCCATGGGCAGTTCCCCGCGGAAAAGGAGCCACCGTGTCCATGAAATACAAAACCCAGTGCCCTCCAGCTGGAGGGGGCAGCAGGTGCTGGGACTGGTTTGGCATCCCCTCGGGGCGAAGGGTCCAGTTAGGAGCAGAAAACCCTGCAAGGGAAAGGGGAGAAAGGCCAGCCTTAGAGGGAGCAGTGAGGAGCATCTGAGCACCCTGACTAGGGACTTTCCAAGGGACCAGGTTGTAGACAGGAATTTACAGAGCCCTTTGCAGCTGGCTGAGGTGGGCAGATAGGTAACCCTTATCCCTACCTAGAGGTGGGAAATCTGAGGCACTCTGTATACAGTGAAGACCCCAGAGTATGTGCTGCATTGGAGAAAAAATCCTACCAAACCTCAGGGATATTGGGAAACCCACTCCGGGTCAGCCGGGCACTACGCAGCGTAGCCAGGAGAGCAGGGAAAGGATTGTACGCCAGGCTGTGGAGGGCCAGGACAAGGAGCAAAATCCATGCAGCTGCCCATCCTTTATCCTAAATAATCCTTCTGCTCGGCCAGGGAAAATCTCACCACGACAGAGCTGAGCAAATAGCAGGACACGGTAGAGCAGAAACAAACATAGCAAATGTCAAGGATTTTTTACTTCTTTTGGTTGTTTTTACAACAGCGGAAAGAAAAATCTCTAGATCTTTCCTAGCTGGGCACGCGGCAGCCTGGGGACCTCTCCCACCAAGGGTACCTGCTGCCTGCACCCCTGGAG